TAATGATTGTGAACATGGTACAGGACCAGGCAATGTTTCCTTCTGTTGTACATAGGGTCACCATGAGTTGGAAATGACTTGATGGCACCTTACAACAATAACAATACAGTTTTAGGTTTGGGGGTTTTACAGGGAAAATAGACATCTCTTTCAGAGTCCTGAATTACTACTGTTAGTGATAAATCACCAAGCTGTGATGGCCTTTATTTTCATTGAAATTGCTGTTGGGTAGTCCCATAATCCACCTAAGGTAGATTGTAGAATCTGAAGGAATAACCCTAGAAATGTCAGCATGGTATGAACATCCTGATAAAGTGCTGGTAGTTTCTTATATCTGAAAGAGTCTGTAAATATTTGTTGGATTTCATTAAAGCAAGGATCAGGCCAATTTTAAAAAGAAAACTGACATAGAAAAGAATCATGATTCTTCTTTGCATATATCTCACATAACAAGTCCTTGGGTAAATGTTGAATGAGCAAGTTATCCACCTGCTCAAGGGTGGAAATTACACATTTCGTTTTTTCTGAATCATAACCAATTAGAGTAATATCATTTAATATTACAAGTTCGAAGAAAAGTACTGCAGACCATATGACAAGAAATTGTATCCATTTAGTATTCTCAATGACTTGATCTTTTAAGTAAAAAATTTATTTTGTATGACTATTTTGCAGACTTTGATGAGAGTCCTACTAAAACTCAATCTGTGGCATGAATTAGCATTTAAATAGTGAGAAAATCTGTCATGTAAAGATCTATAATTTTCTTATCATGTAAAATCTATGATTAAAGGAAATTCAGACAATACCGTATCTCCTCCTAGCTTAACCAGGTTGTACATTATATTACGTATTTGTGTATATGTCAGAACATTGAATTGGTTCTTCCTAGTTCACCCATGGCCATCAAAGCAAAATTGGAATGGACCAGAATTTTTAAAATGTGAGTGTACCAGAACGATAACCAGAGTGTAATCAACACCCTGCTAGAAGCTTAATCTCCCTCTTAGAAAATAAGGGCTGTAAGCATGTTGCATAGCAAGCAAAGCTCTTGACCAATAGAGTTGGAACATACCTATCCCACTCAAAAATGGCAGCCAACCACTCTACTTTGAATATGTATTACTCTTTCCAGTCCTGGCAATGATCCAGTCTCCTGCATCAGGCTCCTGAAGAGCCTCACTACACTTCTTCTGAGGCTTCTCAGGATTTCCCATGTATTTTTCAGTGTTCTGGTTATCGTTCGGTACACACACATTGTACAAATTTTCATTTGTTCTGATTTCACTGTGCTGGCTATGTGTATATATTTGTTGTTATTAGGTGCCATCAAGTAGACTCCAAATCATAGTGATCCTATGTACAACAGAATGAAATAGTCCCTGGTCCTGTGCTAGCTCTACAATCCTTGCTATACCTGAGCCCATCTTTATAGCCCCTTTGTCAGTCCATCTTGTTGAAGCCATTCCCCTTTATTGTTAAAACTCTACGTTACCAAGCATGATATCCTTCTCCAGGGAATGATCCCTCTGACATGACCAAAGTAGGTGAGCCATTCTTGCTTCCAAGGAGCATTCCAGTGCATTTCGTCCAGGATAGTCCATGGTACTTTCAGTATTCTTTGCCAACACCAAAACTTGAAGGTGTCAACTTTTCTTTGGTCTTCCTTTTTCATTGTCCAGCTTTCATATACATAAGAGGCTTCATGTGCATATGTGTATGTGTGTGTGTGTGTGTGTGTGTATGTATACATATGCATACTCAGAGAGAGAGAGAGAGAGAGAGAGAGACACCCTGTGAGTGGCATAAGTGTTAAGCACTTGACTACTAAGAAAAAGGTTGGTGGTTCAATACCACGTAGTGGTGCCTAAGAATAAAGTCCTATCAATCTGCTTCTGAAAAGTCACAGCCTTGAAAACTCTGTGGAGTACAGTTCTAGTCTGCAACACATGGGGACTCCATGAGTTGGAATTGACTCAACAGCGACTAATTTGATTTTTATTTGGAGTGTGTGTGTGTGTTAATACACATATATATATGCATATACATATGTGTATGTGTGTGTGTGTATGCATAAAAACTTTAGAGTAATAGGAGCACATAGCACTTTTAGGTAAAATCTAAAGCATTGTCCTTCATTTTAAAAAAATTTGTTTTGAATGGTGTGACTGTCAAGTATTATTAAAGTTCAGCTATGTTTTCTAGCTTTGGAACTCAAATCTAGTATGAAAAAAATGAGCTTCCATCAAAATAATATAAACCAAACAAGGTAAATAGAATTTGTTTTGGCCAAAATAAATGAAATGTATTATAGAAAATATAAGTACATTCTAGAAAGAGCCTCATTCTGTGAAGGAATATAATTTTATAAAGTAGATTTTCCCTTTTTCTTTCAGTATGTGAAAAAGTGATTTTTTTTGTAATAGTTTTTTTATTTCTGTTCTAAATGGTTCTGAGGTCTTTGAAGCATAACAAAGTAACTTAAGAAAAATTATATGGAATAATAAGAAGAGGATATGTTTTTAGTTGAAAAAATAAAAGCTTAATAGTATTAAAGTATTTTCTCCTGCACTTATTAAGGGATAGGTCAACATCATCACTCCTCATCCTTAAAATCCTTAAGGTTTTCCTTTTCCTATAGAAAGAAGTGCAAACTCTTTAGTGTAAAATTCTAAACTTTCCATGGGCTAACCCTATCTAATTTTATAGCTTCAGTTATGTTTCTCTCTGCAACCCACCTACCATCCCACAGTCTGTCCTCCTTCTCAAATATTGTGGTTACATGCCATCATGCTTTAAATCTTAACTCCTCATTTAGCTGGAAATGGATTCCCCTTCAGCCATTTGGCATTTAACAAGTATTTAGTGAGTTGCTTACTATGGCCTAGTGTTGTACTAAGAGCCTGGTGTTGAAGGATAATCAAGACAAGGTCACTCTCCTTGATGAGTTCACAGTCTGATCAAGGAGAGAAAGGTGATTACAATGGAGAGCAACAGAGCCAAGTATTCTTGTAAACCTCAGGCAGTAGGAGCACAAAGGGGTCAGCTGCCTTTTAGGGAACAGATGGGACTTCATGGAAGAGGTAGCTCTTAACCTGAGTTAAGACATGAGTAGTTTGTGAGACTGAAAACACTACAGAGGGGAGGTTATAATGCAAGATAGACTCACTAAACTCACTGCTGTCAAGTCGAATCTGACTCATAGTGACCCTTCTTTGGGTTTCCAAGACAGTATCTTCTATGGAAGTAGATTGCCCAGTCTTCCTTCTGAGTAATGGGTGCTGGGTTTGATTAGCCTTCCAGAGCTCCCAATGCAAGACAGAGCAATGTGAAAGCAGCAAGCATATCCAGGGAAGTGAAAGTGTTTGGGTCTGTTTTGGAACATGGAGATGAGGCTGGAAAGATTTGAGACTAAATATCCTTTATGCTGATACTACTCAACATGTGACCCCTAGATTAGCATTATCAGCTTCACCTGGGAGATTTTTGAAATGAGAATTCTCTGACTTACTGTATCAGAATCTCAAGGGTAGGGACCAGGAATCTATACTTTAGTATATTCTCCAGGTCATTCTTTGATAGCTTACATTTGGGAAGCACTTCTCTATTTCACATAGTGTGGAGTCCATGCTGTAAGCAACTGGATGTATGAAACTTTTTAAAACCTGGAGGTGATATGATCAGTTTTCTGTTTTAGGAATATTCATTTATTGAACAAATATTTATTTAGTGCTTACTGCATACCAGGTGTTTTGCTAGGTGCCTGGGATATACTGACGGCCCAGGTATCCAGGGTTCCTGTTAATGAGGTCACAGTATAATGAGAAAGACAGGCAAGACTTACAAAATTAAGTAAAGTACAGGTATATAATTACAAACTATAATAAGTATAATGAGGAAACCTCTAGGTCTGTGATTTAAAAAATAGGCTGTAGAAAGGGATTTTCAACCTAGATTAGAGATCAAAAGAGAACTTTCTGGAGTAACATTGAAGTTGAGACATGGAAAATGATAAAAGAGCTAAAAAGAACCATTATTGCAGCTGCTGTTGTTATTGTTATATGCCGTCAAACCTGACTCATAGCAACCCCTCCTTGGGTTTCCGAGGCAGTATCGCTATGGAAATAAATTGCCCCATGTTACTTCTGAGGAGTAGTAGCTGGTGGGTTTCAACTGCCAGCCTTCTGGTTAGCGGTCAAGTGCCTTAGGCACTATGCTACCAGAGATAATAATGTGTGAGACACATCTTAAAACTGAAAGAAGATCATTGGAGCTAGAAAAAAGTAAGGGAGAAGAACATGAGATGTGGATGGAAAGGAAGGTAGGGGCCATGTCAGAAAGGGTCTCACAGCCCCTTGTTAGGAATAGGGTTATTCTAAGTGCCATGGAAAGCCTACTGGTGATGTGGAAGAGAGAAAGGAGGCAACAAGACTAGCTTGGAAGCTATTGCTTTTACCTAGATGAGAGAGGCTAAGGATTGCAGCTAATGAGAAAGAAAATAGGAAATAAACATTTAACAATTGGATTGACAGGGTAGGGCAAGAGTGAAATCAAGAAGTGACTGCCGTGTTCACTGAAATCAAGTGCAATATTCAAGAACTAGATTGAATGGTAGGAGCTTTGGTAGCTTAGCGCCTAAGGCACTTGAGTGCTAACCAGAAGGCTGGCGGTTCAAACCCACCAGCCACTCCTCGGAAAGAAGGTTGGGCAATCTACTTCCGTAGTGATACTGCCTCGGAAACCCCAGGAGGGGTTGCTATGAGTTGGGTCTGACGACAGCACATAACAACAACAAGAACAGATTGAATTCTGTCCCCACGGTAGTTTCTTTGATAGCTTTATCCCAGTTTAATCTTCTTCCCACAGCACTTTGTCTTGTCTGCAGTAGCTCTTACTTTATTCTTTCCTAGTAAACAAAATTCCAGGAAAGCAAGAGAGCATAATTTATTTATGTTTACTCTGTGTTTTTCTCTTCCCTCCCCTTTCTCCTCTTTCTACAGACTGCTCAAGGAGGTGGCCATCGAACACTCCTCTATGGACATGCCATATTGTTGCGCCATTCTTATAGTGGCATGGTGAGTAAACATGCTGATCCACTGGGGATGCGTATTCAGGAAATGTTAGCAATAGCATTTCAGTGAAGGCATTAATAAGCTTGGATGTATGTATTCTTTAATCTCTTTGTATCCTGTTTGTTGTCATTCTGAGTGTCATTTTAGATTACCTTTAAGACCTTTCCATTCTACCATTCTATAGTTCCTAGTTTAACTAACTATCTTGCTTTTGCTAGACTAGTTTTAGAGGGAGAGAGATATGAAAACTTTTTCTTTAAAAAAACCCAAAAAACTTGTTTTAGCCACTTCATCTATCAGAGAATAAAATGGCCTGACTGAAAGATAAGATTTAAAAAAAAGATAATCTGCCTGTGAGCTCCCCTGTCATTTCTACCAATCCCCCCCCCCACCCTTTAACTTGATGTTCCTTTTCTTTTTTCAGAGTCAGTTACTTCTTTCACCTAATCATCTACCAGGTTTCTCACAAGAACAATTATCTCATTCTCAGCTTCCACATACTTATAAAAATTTAGTTCAATTCTTTTTAATGATTTTTTTTAAATTAAAAAAGCTTTAGACAGTCAACCTAAAAGATCTAGAAATAAAGAAGAAAATTCTTTATGATCACACTGATGATTGAAAAACCATTTGCAACTTTAAAAATTTTTTTAATTTTTCCTCTCTTTTTACTTTTTTTTTTTGCATAATTGAGATCTTTTGTAAAACCAAATTATATTTTAATTATTTTTACATATTATCATAGCTTAAGTTATTTTTCAATGATATTTAAATTCTCCATTGATATAAATTTAGAGACTATATGATATTTGAATGATGAGGTATAATGTAATTTATTATTCATCATTAAACTTCTGAACATGAGGTAATTCCTATATTATCTAATGTGTTTCAAAGCCAGAGACTAAGCATAGCTTCAGTACCAGTACTGGACAAGCTCTCAAAAAAAAAAAAAAAATTTTTTATCTCAATCATGAATATTGATGTGAAAATCTGTTTTAAAGGGCTAGTTAACAGAATTCAACAGTGTAGGAAAAGAAATACAAGGAAAATGTACTTGTGATTTTAATGATGACTTAATACCATTAACATTAATGTGGCATATCACATAATTCAAGTAAGAAAAATTGTAATCATTTTAACAAGTACTGAGAAAGATCTTTAGTAAAACTCAACACTCATTTCTAATAAAGACTTTTATATTAACCGTTGATGATTATTTCCTTAATAATAAAGAATATCAAATTCAGATGGATAGCCAATATCATAATTGTGATATACTGATACAATTCTTGATAAAATTAAAACAAATAAACACAAGCAAGAATCTCTTTTATCACCATTGCTGTCTAATATTGTTCTGGACATTTCCACCAATATGCTTAGATATGAAATTAAAAAAAAAAAGTAAAATACTTTCATGAAGTGGCTGGATATACAAGAAATATATAAAACTAGCTTCTTTTTGTATATAGCAATGACTAATTAAAACATCATCAAAAAAATTCCTAATTCAATAACAATTAAAGCACAGAAACCATATGAAATAACCTAAACAATAAAATATGAAGGAATGTTTTAAAAAAACTACTCCCTATACATAACAGAAGGTTGAGATCCTTGAATTGATTGTCAGGTCTGGATTCATTTTCATGTTGCTGCTTATTGAATAATATTGCACACCTTACTGGCCCTTTCTAAGCACATAATTGGATTGGACATCTGTCTATTCATTCAATAAACAGTATTTCACATGTATTGTGTTTATTTAGCACTAATGTTCCAGGTGTTAGTTCCAGTCATGAGTATGACCAAGTCCTTACCCTATGGAATTTACATTAATATTCTTGGAATAATGATAGTATCTACCTTAGAATTGCTGTGAATATTAGAGTCCAGAATGTTTGTTAATAGTGACTGACCCTGCCTCCTACTGTAATATTATTGAGAAATATTATGCAAGACTTTAAGTAGGGATCATCTTTTGTTTTTGCCTGAGAAGTTTGAATATAAAGCTCTCACTTTTTCTCAAATAATGTTGTTGTTAGGTGCCGTTGCGTCATCTCCGACTCATAGCGACCCTATGTAGAGCAGAAAAAAACACTGCCCGGTCTGTGCCAGCCCCACGATCCTTGCTATACCTAAGCCCATCATTGTAGTCTCCATGTCAGTCCATCTCATTGAGGGCCTTCCCCTTTTTCATTGGCCTTCCACTTTACCAAGGATGATATCCTTCTGCAGGAAATGATCTCTTCTTACAACGTGACCAAAGTAGGTGAGACAGAGTCTGGCCATTCTCTCTTCCAAGGTGCATTCTGGCTGCACTTTTTCCAGGACAGATTTGTTAGTTCTTTTAGCAGTCCATGGTACTTTCAGTATTCTTCATCATCACCACCACTCAAAAGCATCAACTCTTCTTCGGCTGTCTTTATTCATTGTCCAGCTCTCACGTGTGGTGATTGAAAATACCATGGTTGGTGTCAGGCTCATCTCTGTCTTCAAAGAGACATCTTTGCTTTGAAAGAGGACTTTTGCAGCAGATTTGTGCAGTGCAATATGTCATCTGATATCTAGACTGCTCCTTCCTGTGGTGTTGATTGTAGTAAAAGTAATATGAAGTCTTTGACAACTTCAGTCTTTTTTCTATCTATTGTGATGCTACTTATTGGTCCAGCTGTGAGGATTTTTGTTTACTTATATTGCAGTGTTATCCATACTACAGACTGTATTCTTCAATCTTCATCAGTAAGTGCTTCAAGTCATCCTCACTTTCAGCAAGCAAAGTTATGTTGTCAGCATATCACAGGTTGTTAATGAGTCTGTCTCCAACCAATCCTGATGCCACGTTCTTTTTTACATAGTCCAGCTTCTCTGATTATTTGATTAGCATATAGATTGAATAAGTGTGGTGAAATGATACAACCTCGACATATTCCTTTCCTGATTCTAAACCATGCAGTGTCCCCTTGTTCTGTTCAAATGACAGCCTCCTGTTCTCAGTACAAGTTCCTCATGAGTATAATTCATTGTTCTGGAATTACCAGTCTTCTCAATGTTATCCATAATTTGTTATGATCTACACAATCAAATGCTTTTTGTATAGTTTATAAAACACAAGTAAACATTTTTCTGGTGTTCTTTGCTTACACCCAAGATCTATCTGACATCAACAATTATATCCTTTGTTCCTTGTACTCTTCTGAATCCAGCTTGCATTTCTGGAAGTTCCCTGTCAATATACTGCTGCAACTGTTTTTGAATTAGATTTTACTTGCATGTGACATTAATGATATTGTTAGATAATTTCCAGATTCTGTGGAATCACCTTTCTTTGGAATGGGTACACATATGGATCTCTTCCAGTCAGTTGGCCAAGTAGCTGTCTTCCAAATTTCTTGGCATAGACAACTGAGTGTCTTCAGTACAGCATCCATTTGTTGAAACATCTCAATGGGTATTCCGTTAATTCTTTGAGCCTTGTTCTTTGCCAATTCCTTTAGTGCAGGTTCAACTTCTTCCTTCAATATCATTGGGTTTTGATCATGTGCCAACTCCTGAAATGGATGAACATTGACCGGTTCTTTTTGGTACAATAATTCTGTGTATTCCTTCCATCTTCTTTTGATGTTTCCTGCATCATTCAATATATTGCCCATAGAATCTTTCAATATTGGAACTCAAGGCTTAAAATTTTTCTTCAGTTCTTTCAGCTTCAGAAATGCTGAGTGTGTTATTTGCTTTTGGTTTTCTAACTCCATGTCTTTGCACATTTCATTATAATGACTGACTTTGTCTTCTTGAGCTGCTCTTTGAAATCCTCTGTTTAGCTCTTTTAACTTGTCATTTATTTCATTTGCTTTGGCTGCTCTGTTCAGGAGCTCTGGTGGTGTAGTGCCTAAGACAGTTGACTACTAACCAGAAGACTGGCAGTTCAAACCCACCAGCCACTCCTCAGAAGGACGTTTGGGCAATCTACTTCTGTAGAGATACCACCTTGGAAACCCAAGGAGGTGTCTCTATGAGTCAAATTGACTTGATGACTGTCTGTTCAAGGACATGTTTCAGAGTCTCTTCTGACACCCATTTTGGTCTTTTCTTCCTTTCTTGTCTTTTTAATGATCTTTTGCTTTCTTCATGGATGATGTTCTTGATGTCATCACACAATCCCTCTGGTTTTCAGTCATTGTTGTTCAATGCATCAAATCTATTCTTTAGATGGTCTCTAAATTCAGGAGGGATAGAATCAAGGTCATATTTTGACTCTCATGGATTTGTTTTAATTGTCTTCAGCTTCAAGTTGAAGTTGCATATGAGCAGTTGATGGTCTATTCCACAATTGGCTCCTGGATTTTTTTGGCTGAAGATATTGAGCTTCTCCTTCACCTCTTACCACAGATGTAATCAATCTTATTCCTATGTTCTCCATGTGGTGAAGTCCATGTATAGAGCTGCCATTTGTGTTGCTGAAAAAAGGTATTTGCAATGCCTAAGTTATTGGTGTTGCAAAATTCTATCATGCAATCTCCAGCATTATTTCTATCACTAAGAGCAAAATTTCCAACTACAGGAGATCTTCTTTATTTCCAACTTTTGGATTCCAATCACCAGTGGTAATCAGCACATCTTGATTGCATATTTGGTCAATTTCAGCTGCAGAAGTTGGTAAAATCTTCAGTTGCTTCATCTTTGGCTTTGGTGGTTGGTGCATAAATTTGAATAATAATAGTATTAACTGGCCTTCCTTGTAGGCTTACGGATATTATCCTGACAGCATTGTACTTCAGGATAGATCTTGAAACATTCTTTGTGACAATGAATGCCACCCCATTCCTCTTCGGTTTGTCATTCCTGGCATAATAGATCATATGGTTGTCTGATTCAAAATGGCCAAAACCAGTCCATTGCAGCTCACTAATGCCTAGGATATCAATCTTTATGCGTTCCATTTCATTTTTGACAACTTCCAATTTTCCTAGTTTCATACATTATACATTCCATGTTCCAATTATTAAGACATTTGCAGCTGTCTCTTCTCATTTTGAGTCCTGCCACATCAACAAATGGAAGTCCTGAAAGCTCCTCTCTATCCACATCATTAAGGTCAGCTCTACTCTGATGAGGCAAGTCTTTCTCAGCCATATTTTAAGTGCCTTCCACCCTAAAGGGCTCATCTTCTGGCACTGTATGGGAAAATGTGTCAGGGCTATTCATAACATTTTCCAGTAATATATCAGACAGTGTTTCACTGCCATTGGTAAGGTTTTCACTGGCCAGTTCTTTGAGAAGTGGATGACGTCTTCCATCTTCCCAGTCTGTCTTAGTCTGGAAACTCTACTGAAACTTGTCCATGATGCATAACCCTGTTGGCATTTGAAACACTGGTGGCATAGCCTTCAGTCTCACAGCAACACACAAGCCACCAGAGTATGACAAACTGATAGACAAGTTCTTTTCCCTTAGCTGTTCCAAATCTCTCCACTCACTTCCTGGCCTCCCCAGGCAGTTTAAATCTAAAATTTCCAACCCTCAGGGATCACTATAGCTACTTGTCAGATTCACACTCCTCCCTTGCTAAGGACATGTTTGTGGACCAACTAAGCCCCTTTCCCCAAACTAAGGGAAACAATGCTTTGCTGTCAGGAGACAGAATCATTGTTCCCCAGGTCAGTTTTGTATCGTATTCCCATTGAACTGTTTTCCACCTAATTTGCAAACATATCTGTGCCCAAATCTGTCCATCCCCTGGTTTTTCACACTTATACACACCTATTTAGCTGGTTGAGCTCTACTCCATGATGGGAATTTTCTAGCCTTTGCTTTAGTTGTTGAGTGTTGTATAGAGTTTGGGTTTGCTTAGTTCCCCAAATTGTCTCTGAGGACCCTTAACCAGGGCTCCTATACTCATTGGCAGTGCACTTCGTCACTGTAGACAGTGGTGCATTTTGAGCTCATATCTCATAACTCATTCAATTTTCAGTCCCTATTCTTATAACCTTTAACAAGGTTTTTGAGGTTGGGGTGAAGATAGGGGACCTGGCCTGAAAATTATTCTAAACTTCATGTCAAAAATATTTAGTTAAGAAAACTGAAGGAAAAAAAATAAAGCTAAGAGAAGTTGATGCTTTGAGAGTTTGATTTCTGTTAGGGAAGCATATGTATGCATGTATTTGATAAAACTCACTGTAGTGTGACATGTAGCACACCAAAGTCAATTCTGGATGGATTTCCAGGGGTTAAATTTTTTTGATTAAAAAAAGAAAATAGAAGATAAAAGTGAATAGTTATCAAATTTCTGTTTGGGAGGAAGATTTCTAACTGTCAGATGAAGTTGTGCTTTTACTGATGATCATGAATATCACATGAAGTTAGAGATGTACAAACACATCCTCAGCCACTCATTTTCTTTTACTAACAGAGCACATTGCTTTAGTCTTTGATGAGAGGAAAAAGATCACATTTCCTTTAGAACATCACTCCTGATGAATGTTGTTTAAGTACTGATAAGCTTCACACACACTCAGAAACCTAGATGTTGCACAGAAGTATGCAGCAAGGAAAAGACTGATACAGCAGACATTAACAACAACAACAACAACAACAACAACAAAAAAAAAAATCCAAACAGTGCCATCTGTAAATCTTTACAGAATTAGATTGTCTCATCTTCCTTCTGCAGAGCAGCTAGTGGGTTCAAACTGCTGATCTTCTGGTTAGCTGCCAAATGCTTTAACCACTACAGCAGAGATAGACAGATACTAAATTATGTGGAGAACAAGAAAGGGATATGACTATAAACATTTAATGACAACACTGACTCTATTTTTTAGTATCTCTGCTGCCTCTCTACCTCCCGGTCTTCAACTGATAAACTGGCCTTTGATGTTGGCTTGCAAGAGGACACAACAGGTGAGTACTTGAGAGACAATGGCCCCTCTGCAGGGGTTTGTTGGAATAAGTCATGAGATGTGATAGAAGATCCTTCAGATGGATGTCCTTCCAATGAAGTATGGAAAAAAATGAATGACTTTCTAAAGAAGGTTTCTAGCAAAAGGACAAAGTATATATTGTTTCTAGTGGTCGTTCCCATGTAATTAGTTAGATATTAAAACTAGCCTTTAACCATATTCTTTTTATGAGTTTAGATTAAAAAAATCAGTATTTACTAATGATACACTGAAAGTTATCCATTTTCATTTCAAATGATTAATTCAGAAAGTATTACTGCATAACATTTTTGTTACTCTTCTTCTGAAAATATTTTTTTTAATTTAAAAATGTAACATATTCAGTGTCAACATTCAAATGAAAAAGTAGAAAATTAAAATGTTTTTCATCTTTCTGCTCACATGGCATTTTGCGAATTAACTGTCCAAAAGGACATGCATTTACACATTTTTAAAGCAAAAATGTATATCTTAACATATTTATCCTTTCAGAACATGGAAGTAGGAGAAAACGATCCTTACTTATGTTTTTACTCTCAATGTTCTGAAGATTTTCCATTTTCCTTTTCTTTTTATTTTACATAAGGAACTGCTTAGTAAAATTTTAGATGACAACATTTTGCATATCTTTTTTGAGGTTTTTTTTTTTTTGCTGTTGTTGTTGTTATTATAATACAGTTGTAGCCTTACAAAACCCCACGTCTTTGTGAAAATCAAATGACAATAAAACTAGGTGTTATTACAAAGAGCAGCATTAAGAGTGTGGTTGAATAAAGAATGCAATTAGATCAGCATGGCTAGTGAACTTGGACTTATCTTACCATAAATATCCTTTTTAAGCAGTGCTTAGGTGGGTGTGGTGAAGACACTAAGTTCTCAAAATATCACAAGCAGTTTCTGTGAGAAGAATCCTTGCATTTCATTATGCCATATCCTACAATAATTTAGTTTATTTTTTCATATTTTAAAAGATTAATTTGCACTTCTGAAATTTGTGTGAGTGGAACAATTTGGTCTTAAGGAAAATTATTTTGAAATCTATTTAATTTCCCCCTTTCATTTTGGAGTCACTAGCGAAGAAAACAGATTAGAGGTCCTCTCTGTGTTTCCTTTTTCAATCATTCTGCAGGTGAGGCTTGTTGGTGGACAATACACCCTGCCTCTAAGCAGCGATCAGAAGGAGAGAAGGTACGAGTGGGAGATGACCTCATCTTAGTCAGCGTGTCCTCTGAAAGGTACTTGGTAAGTATGGAAAGTATGATTGTGTACTTGATGATATGATAAATGGCAGGCCAATGAAATTGTCTCTTTAAGGTTTAGATTGTAAATTATCCAGAGAAATTGCTAATAAACAAACCTGGATATCTATTTGATGAATTATGAATAATTCCCTAGGTAGGAGAATAATGTTACGTCTGTGGAAGGTTGTTTATGAGGCTCACTTAGGCAGGTTTTCCTCATGACCTTGAAATGCATGTTCATGATATATAGTGCCTTCTCTTGGGTTATTTTATTAGCTGTTTATAAATGCAATTGAATCAAGAATTCAAATTCAAATTCATTATTTTGTGCCCAAGGGAAAGGAAATATCAATGAAGTCAATATTACTTATTTTGATATTTATGAAAGCAAATTATTCTGTGAGAAATAATTACATGTTAAGAATTATGAGAAAGCAACACACTAAAGAACATATTTCCAGTCATTGACATTGCATGTTTCAAAGGGTAGAACTTGGAGATGGAAAATGGAATAAACAATTTATGTTTAATCATTGAATTTTTTTTATTTGTTTCTGTGGTGGCATGTATCTATTTAATTTTATTTATTTAGTAAATTGTATTGCTAAAGAATAGTCATATATAAAAGTTGCAGAATATTAAAATCTGTGCAAGTATGAAGGATGCCAGTGCAAAATATATTTTGATAAACAGTTAAAAAGTAATTAAATAAATATAAAATGGGGGTAATATAAGCGTTACATGAATATCCTCATTAAAAAATAATAAATAAATAAAAAAAAACCCTCATACATCATAGTGGCACACTCTGGGTTATAAAAAGTATTTTACTGCTGCCATAAATCAAAATGTTATTTGTGAGTAACTGATTAATTTAGAATTATATTTGGTACCCCTTTTCTCTATAAATGTGGAAATGGAGTAAGATTGGAGGATGTTTTAAGCCCATTTTTATCTATCAAAACATTTAGTTCTCATTTAGAGACATTTTAGGAAGAGCAAGTTTGTTTGACTTTCTTTGTGTAAAGAAGTAGTGATGAAGATAGGGAAATGATGAACACTGCTCACATAACTGATGGGAACTATTAAATTACATGGAATGTCTAACATTACATAGCAAGGAGGAGGCCCGCTACACCTCTCTACTCTTGTTTATCAACAGTGTAGGTAGAAACAGCACTGAGCACATTTCTGGAACACATATGTATGCCTATATGTGTCAGCTTGCCAAATAAGCATTTAATAAGCCCCTGCTGTGTCTGTGTGCTTAAAGTATGTTAAAGTAATATATTTTGATCCAAACCAAAAAACTAAACCCACTGCCATCGAGTCAATTCCTACTTGTAGCAACCCTCATTGGGTTCCCAAGGTGGTAAATCTTTAAAGAAATAGAGTGCCCCATCTTCCTTCTGTGGAGCAGCTGATGGGTTTGAACCACCAACCTTCTAGTTCTTAGGTACTGCACCACCAGAGCTTTTTATATTTTGACCAGAAGATGTGTATTCTGAGTTGTAGTTGTACTTAGAAACCAATAGCAGTAGAAATAATTCATGCACACTTTTCAATATATGAATTCTACACATATTTTATTTTCATTTTGGCATAAGTATGCATTTCTTTGGTCGTACAATTTTATGTGTCCTAATACAGCAGAATTTATTTGATAGGATGACATCATTGTGCACTGAAAGACTCTAAAACTAGAACTTTACAGGGATCCTGTCTTATCCATTCTGCTGCTAGCTACCTGAGCAAGTCACACAATTCACTAAATTGTGGCTTCCTCATTTATAATGTAAAGAATGATGCTAATGATTATACTTAGTGCCAAGATTATTGAAAGGAAGTAGTAGATAATGAATCTGAATGTGCTTTGAATTAAAAAACACTACATAAGTAATAGAAGATCATGGGAGGTGCAAACAGTTAAGTGCTGAATTACTGAATGAGAGGTTGGTGGTTCAAAAGTACCCAGAGATACCTCAGGAAAAAGACCTAGTGATCTTCTTCCAAAATTTAGCCACTGAAAACCCTAAGGAGCACAGTTCTACCATGATACATGTGGAATTGCCTTCAGTCAGAATCAACTCAGTGGCAACTGTTTTTTTTTTAATTAAAAAAATAGCGATAAGAATAATACATCAGATTCTCTTTTTATTACCTTTGGAAAGAAAAAAAATATGATTAATCTAAATTCATTAATAAATTTAAAACTATATTTTAGCCAATTTATTAAAAGTCCTTTTCCTAAAAACCTTGTATGTAGTGCTACAAAACAGTGGCCAACTAGACTGTTTAAATTTCATTCTCATTTAGTAATGAAGTCAGAGTTTTTATTGTTTATCTTTATGATCAAACATACAGTAGAAACTACAGGAATTACCAAGGTCTTGTAGGATAAGGCATAATGAAATGCAAAGATTCTTCACGTGGTTTTTGCCCTCAAATAATTAATTTGGAAAACAAGCCAAAAATACATAGAACCATGAGAATATTATAAGACAGTGTCAGATTACCCAATAAACAATGTAAGCACTGGTTTACTTGTCCTTACTTACTAATCTGTGGTGAACAATTTCACAGTTTTTTCACCCCATCAAAGATTCTTCTTCTAGGTGTGGCTAACATCTCTCTCTCTCCCAACCTCATAGCACCTTCCTGCAGAATCAAAACATCTTTTCAAATATATGATCCCAGACAGGAATAGAGTACCCAGTAAACAAGGTAGGCTTACTTGTACTTAGTTACTAATCTACAATGAACAATTTCACATGGGTTTCACCATATCTGTGGTGAAATTGTTGATCATTGTTGATCACAGATTAGTAAGTAAGCACAAGTAGGTCTGTGCTAACCTTGATTATTGGGTATTCCTCCCCTAAAATGTCTGCTATAGTATAGGTTAGAGGTGCAGAAGTGAGTACTTACAGGTATGTTGTGTTTTTGTGTGCCATTGAGTCAATTCTGAGTCATATCAACAGAGATCTGCTCTATAGGCTGTAGTCTTTATAGGAGCAGATTACCAGATATTTTCTCCCTCAGAGGTACTGATGTATTTGAACTACCAACCTTTCAATTAGCAGCAAAATGCTTACCATTGTACCATGAGGACTCCTTTACCTATAGTTATTAAAAATATCCCATTGTTGTCAAGCTAATTCTGACTCATAACAACCCTAGACTACCACATCATTCTCCTGGGTGGGTTTGAACTGCCAACTTTTCAGTTAGTGACTCAGCACTTTAACCACTGCATCACCAGAGCTCCTTACCTGTAGGTATCCTGTTACTGTCAAATCAATTCCAAATCCTAATGACCCTGTAGGACAGAGTAGAACTGCCCCATAGTGTTTCCTAGGCTGTAAATCTTTAAAGTATATCTTTGTCCTACAGAGTCACTCATGGTTTGAACTGGCTGAGCTTTTTATTAGCGTAGTGGCTAAGGCACTTGACTGCTAACCAGCAGGCTGGCGGTTCAAACCCACCAGCCACTCCCCGGAAGGAAGGTTGGGCAATCCTACTTCCGTAGTGATACTGCCTCGGAAACCCAAGGAGGGGTCGCTATGAGTCAGGGCTGACTCGACGGCACATAACAACAACAACAACAACAACGAGTGCTTAATCACCTCACAACATGGTTTCTTGCCTATAGGTATAGATCTGGTTATTTTTTATCCCATTTGTACTCTGATTGATTAATAGTAGGTTGATAGAATGCTGTGTTGATAGAGTCAAAGACTTATATGGTGACTTTGTGACAAGGGACAAGAGACCACTAAAAGGACAAGAACTGAGGTCATAAAATGAGTTAGGAAACTGTTGGAATAATCCATAATTAATCATTAATTCCTGAATAAGTAAAACCAGGCTGTGTATAAATTTGTTTATAGATTTTAACTTAGTACAGTTTTAACTAAGTGAGATCAACAGATTAGAGTGTGACACTAATAAGGACAAGATTTGCTATCTATATGGAGTTATTTTATTCCATTTCATAGACATAGGATGCCATTTGCAGTTATAGTTCAGTGGTTAAAAGTGTGGGCTCTTGAATCCCTACTTGAATGTGAAACTCAGGCCACCATTTCCTGTGTCTGAACCTGGGCCAACTGCATAATCTCTGAAATTCCTGTTTTTTTATCTGTACTATGGGGATTCTAAGAACTGAACTCACAAATATTTTTGAGGATTGAATGCCTTAATCCAAGCAACACTCTAAACTCTGTGAATGGCTCATAAAAATTAACATTGCTTAACTGTGAGACATGTGCCAGTTAAGGACAATGTGCCAATTAATGTGCAATTAAAAAAAATTGCAGATATTTAACCTGAAGAAGAGAAAGCTCTGTTTTTAAATAAAGGCCTATATGGGAAAGCAAAATTCATGTTTTGAGGAGAAGCAAATATGGTTTAAAATAAATTAATTAAGAAATTTTACTGGAAAAAATTAATTAATTTCTGAAAATCTCTGAGCATTTCCAGTTATTGATTTTGTAACTTTTCAGTCCGTGATTCCTGTAGAACTTTGATCTATTTTTTTCCTTCACTAATACTGATGAATAAGGTCAGATTTATGAACCTAGTTGTGTATTTGGTACACTAACAAAGCTTACAAGTATTGGAATGCTAATTTAAATTACTTATTTTCACCCTACCCTTTGTGGAGGTACCTCATGGATGGAAGAAGATGTTGTCATCGCCTCAAGACCCCTCTGTCCCCAAGCTCCCTGTAGGGTAGCTCTACTCTTGTCTGCTTCTTATAGTGGACTTCTGTGTACAATTTCCTAGGAATACATGGTCTCTTTTCTAACAATATTTAAAACTACTCATCCAAATAATGTTTTTTCTCATCTTTCTGTTTTATATTTGAATATGAAAGAATATCTTCATCCTCTTTTCAGGATTATGTAAACAGAAAGAAAATTCCTTTTCCCCTTTTAGAACTGTTTTTTTTTTTTTTTTTTTTTAAGTATTGGGATTTGTTGCTTGAATGAACCTAAT